CTTTTCTTTTCTCTCCTTAGCTTTAGAATCCTCGTTATACGATAGTTAGACGAATTACTCTAAATTCCTAGCTAAACCTTTATATTATTCTAAAGCTCTCTATTATACGTAGCGAAAGAGTACCGCGTACGAAATAAATAACGAATAGTAACTAACGGAAACCGCTCTAGCGTAGGCGGTAGAGCTATACTAGTTCTTATAGGCTTAAAACTAAAGGATAATAGTACTCGAGAATTAACTCGGCTAATAGAATAGAGTACGAGCTCGTACGCCTAAAGTAACGACTTCTACGACGGCGAGCGCTATATAAGAATTCGACTCTATACGACGAAAGGCTAAGCTCTCCGAGCTAGCTAAATTTAATAAAAAAAGATTAAAGTTTCGGCCGTAGCTTACTTAAGCTTAAGCTAAGTTAGCGATCGATAAGTAAGAGGAAATCGAAGTCGTACGATTTTAGTATCTCTATAGTAGACTAAGGAACTACGCCCTTACCTAAGTTAGCCCGTAGGTTAATTTCGTATAATTAACCCTCGAAATAAATACGAAAGAACTTATTAGTTAATTAAAGGCGGCGTACGAAGACGTTAACGTCGTAGAAAGAGTATTACGAAAGCTTTCTTAGCTAAAGTAGAACGAAAAGTCCTTTAGCGTATTTCTCGCCGAGTTTAATTATATACTACTCGAGGTCGACGGACTAAACTAGGCTAACTCGGTAAAGAAGACGTTTATATTAAACTACCTTTCGTATAACCTAAAGAGCGCCCTCGTTATAACGCTAATTCTATTAATCTATAGGAAATACTATACTTTCTTCTATATAATTAGTATAAACCTAGAGGCTCTTCGATAGAAGAAAGCTAGAAAGAAGATATCTAGAAGTAACCTATTCGATACTACTAGTCGTACGAAAGATAAAATAGATTAAACGTCGATAGTATAAGCTATAGCGTCTTTAGCGGAACTATAGAGAGCTTTATAGGTATCGTAAACGATACTTAACTAGAGAAGAGAGCTTAGAGCGTATCTTCGCTACGACTAACGAAACTACTTTATCGTTAAATATCTTCTTCTTTCTATCGTACGACCTAAGACGAAGAGGAGAGTAGTAGTACTAGAGACTATAGATAATAATAAGAAATCGTTAAAAGAGTAGCTCCTACTAGAAGTCGTCGATAAAAGCGTATAAAGAAGACGAAGAAGAAATAAAAGGCTTTTCGATTTTCGATAGATAACTAATCCTTTATAGTTTTATTACTTTTAAATAAGTAATATTATATATTAGCTCTAATTAATTCTAGTTATTTATCGTACGATTTAATTAACTTTCGCTTCGCTTCTCGCTATTCTTTCGAGCGTATTCCTATTACTTCTCGTTCGATCTCCGAATTTAACTTCTTCGTATAATCTAAAATCTCTAAAGTAGCGAAGGTTAAAGTCGATATCGATAGCTATAAGGAAATAGTATTCTTCTATATTATTCCGAACCTAGCGTACGAAATTATCCTTAGGCTACCCTAGATAAAGAAGAACGATGTATATTTTAGCGCCGCGAACGATTCTCTCTTAATAGGCTATTTCGATCTAAAGATCTATAATATACTACGAAAACTACGTACGCTCTTAGACTATAGCTAGGTCTTCGTCGTAGTATTCGATCTACTAGCTTAGAGAAGTAAGAAGCGTACGAAAACCTAGGTATTCTCGGCGACGATAGCGAATATTAAAAAAGTACTTAGAGTAAAGACGTCTACTAATTCGCGTACGAAGCTTCCTTAATAGTACTACTATTTCTTAAACGTCTTTAGTCGTATAAAAGTAGAGAAGTTACTTCCTTTACGAGGGAAGGAAATCGACTATATAATCGACCTCGAACTAAAAGACGAAAAGAAATCTTAAGTTTTATAGAGTTCGCTATATAATATATCTCGAGATAAACTCTTAGTACTACGATATATATTTATTAAACTTCTCGATAAGGAATTTATTAGAGTAAGTAACTCGTTAGCGGCGACTCTAGTTCTCTTCGTATAAAGACTAGGAGGAGGATTACGATTCTATATTAATTATTAAGGGCTAAATAAGCTAACGAAGAAGGATTAATACTTATTACTACTAATCTATAAGACTCTACGAAATATCGAATAAGTAAAGTAGTATACGAAGCTCGATATTATCGCGGTCTTTTATAAAATTCGAATTATAAAAGAAGATAAGTAGATAATAGTATTTCGTATAAAATATAGCCTTTTCGAATAGCTAATTACTTCTTTTAAACTTATTAACGCGCCTAGTATATTCTAGAAGTATATTAACTAGACCTTATAAAATTACCTTAATATTTTCTACTCGGCGTATATAAATAATATCTTAATCTATTCTTCGAGAATATAACGAAAGTATTAAAACTATATACGAAAAGTTTTAAGTCGACTCCGCGAAGTAGGACTTTAGGTTAATATCGATAAATACGAGTTCGAAGTTAAGTCGATAAAGTACTTAAGATTTATTATCGACGCGAAATAAGGCGTATAAATAGATCTAGTAAAGGTTATTATAATCTAAGAATAATAAGCTTCTAAATCTAATAAAGGCGTCTAAAGTTTTATTAATTTCGTAAACTTCTACTAAAAGTTTATTAAGGATTTCTCGAAAATAATTCTACTAATTATAAAACTCGTACGAAAGGATTCGACTTTCTATTAAGATTCGGAAGTTAATATAGCGTTCGTACGACTAAAGAAGATATTTATAATAGCTTCGATCCTCGCTCTATTTAACTATATAAAAGAAATATTCCTAGAAGTTAATACTTCTAAATAGTATATAGATAGTACTTTATTCTAGGTAGGAGAAGACGATTTCGTACGACTCTATATATTCTTTTTAAAAAAGAACTTATTCGCGGAATATAACTATAAAATATACGATAAAGAAATATTAACTATCGTACGTTATCTTAAAGAATAGAATACTAAGTTAAAGAGCGTAAATAAGTTCGAAATATAATTAGATTATAAGAATCTAGAGTACTTTATAATTATACGAAAGCTTACGAAGAAGTAAATATAATAGTTTCTTATTTTCTTACGATATAACTTTATAATCTTCTACCTTAAAGAAAAGAATAACGTATAAGTCGATACGCTATCGCGAAGAAAATAAAATATACTAAAAGAAGAGGAAGACGATCGACTATAGTATCGTATAATAAGACTACTAAAGCCGAAGTTCTTCGACGCGAAAGAAGCGATTTAAGTAGCTTCCGTATAAGTAGAGGAATCTCCTACTAAAGACTAACTAGTAAGTAATATAGTTAATACTAACTAGTTTACGATAGTAGAGTCGAACGAAACGTATAAGTAGATTAAGGATTTAATTACTCGAGGAGTACTAAAGTTTCTATCGTCTCTAGCGATAAAAGTATCTATCGCTAAGTATATAATTAATAGCTAAGGAAACGTACGCTTTCGTAGAAGACTATAGGTTTCG